TCTTTTTTCCCCACCCGTTACAAGCTTTGCTGTGCCAAGAGCTGTTCCCTGGATAGATGGCACCTCTGTTCCCAAGTGCGTGTCGGTCCAACGCTCGGGTTTAAGAAGTTGCTTAGAGAGCAAAGTGCATGACCCGCACTGGGAAGGGTGGGTTTCAAAATCCCAGCCCAACTCTTTGGATCAGCTCCAGAAAACCGGTGATGCTCCCAATGTCCTGTGATGTGCAATTACCTGCAAGATCAGGGCTAGTTGCAGAGAAGAAAACTGTATCTGAGTTTTCCCCGGTAGAGCGGGCTCCAGAACATTTCACAGACACGTGGCAGCGTGCATGTCGTTCTGTTGTTGAAAGTTTTTGTGTTGAACTATGTGGCCTTCTGCAGCCAAACCCCAAGAATCCTGTAATATTCAAAAGCATTTTTACTGCTTCAAATATTTGCATTAACTTCCTTTTTTTTCCCCCTCTCTTTAATATTTACCAGCAGTTACAAAGCTGGAAAAATTGTTTTAATATGCCCTGTTTCGGATGATGGCAGAAAGACTTGGCACTTAATACGCATGCTAATATCCTCTCTCTGATTTTGCTCTTTCCTAGATTTAACATGCCACATGATGACAATCATAAATGCAAAGAAGATGGAGGTAAAAATCAACAGCATGTCATGGCACCGACATTGAACTTCTACACCAACCCCTGGATGTGGTCGAAATGCAGCAGGAAATACATTACTGAATTTCTAGAGTAAGATGTTCCATATGCATTAAGTTATTACCTGTGCAGTGTACCTCAAGGAGCTCATTAGTTAAATTGAAATCCAAGAGTAAAGCCTTTGGAAAAGAGTTGAAGAAATGTGTGCGTGTGTGTGCAGATGCTTTACATAGCCCAGGAATGCACCTTCTGAGACCCAGCCCTTGCCAGTTCTGCCACATGATTAGCTGGCAAGGAATTGCCTCTCAATGGGAAAGACTGTTTCTTCCAAACACACACCAGCCATACACCCTTTTTTGGCCAAAACTCCTGTGCATGTTGCTGGGAAGGAATTCGCATAACAGGCACTAGGGCAGTGCTGTAGCACATTAGGATCCCCCTAAGTCAGAGAGCCGAGCGAGGTAATTTTGGGACACCCTTCTTCTCTTCCAGTGGCGCAGCATCACCTGAGTATGCCCCCAATTTTGGTCTGGAGGCCTGCGTTCTTCTTGAGGGTTGCAAGGGTTTTTCAGCCCTTGATTCGATCCTGTGATAGTCATCACAGAAATTAATCTGTTGAATGAACATTTTGGGTCTCTCATCCACGTTATGTGCAAAATGACTTGGCCCGTTGTCTCTAGTTGGCCTGGCAGGATGCCTTATCAGGTGTAAAGTCAATTGGAGCAGTTAACTTGAGGCACTCAAGTCAGTGATGCTGGTTATCCATCCAGCTGCCTTTGACTCCTCAACCCAAAGGACCAGGTGCCTGCAGGGTGTGAAGGGGTGGATCTAGATTCATAGATGTTAGGGTCGGAAGGGACCTCAATAGATCATCGAGTCCGACCCCCTGCATAGGCAGGGAAGAGTGCTGGGTCTAGATGACCCCAGCTAGATACTCATCCAACCTCCTCTTGAAGACCCCCAGGGTAGGGGAGAGCACCACCTCCCTTGGGAGCCCGTTCCAGACCCTGGCCACTCGAACTGTGAAGAAGTTCTTCCTTCAGTCCAGTCTAAATCTGCTCTCCACCAGCTTGTGGCCATTATTTCTTGTAACCCCCGGGGGCGCCTTGGTGAATAAATACTCACCAATTCCCTTCTGTGCCCCTGTGATGAACTTATAGGCAGCCACAAGGTCGCCTAATAAAAGGCATTATCTCTGAACCAAGAAGTCTAGATTTTTGTATTTTTTGCAGGGTTTGAATGCACAGTTAGACAGCTCACCTGCTCTTCCGCTACGTCCCTGCGGTGGTTGTAGCAGCGTCAGGCTGCTTGGGTTTCTGTGAGATGTGAAACCCTTTATTTCAGTGGTGTGGACCCTGAGTGTCCTCATCTGTCAAATGGGGATGGTTTTCTTTCCCTGTTTCACAGGAGCCTTTAGAATTTGTTGATGAATGTTTGTGCAGCATGCAAAACGCAAGTCACATCCCCTCGCTCTTCTGCTTTCCCGCAGCACTGGATACGGGGAGTGTCTGCTGGACGAGCCTACGGCAGGAACTTACACTCTGCCTCAGCAACTCCCTGGCCTCATTTATGATGTTAATAAGCAATGCGAGCTAATTTTTGGACCGGGATCTCAAGTGTGCCCGTACATGGTAAGTGCAATTCCACATCCTTTGCATTGCTTGCATCGTTTAGTTTTGGTAAGGCTGGGCACCGCTGGGGGACCGGAGAAAAGGTCCCGCCAGCTCTCGGTTGTGTTGGAAGCTGGAGCCATCAGCTCAGAAGTGCCAGCCGCTGCCACCTTCCACAGAGGGCCACGGTCTTGATTTTTGATGGTGACTTGTGATTTTTGAGAGCTTTTGTGTATGGGACACCTGACCAGGGTCTCATTTTCACATGGCAAGTGCTTCCAGGGTAAAACATGTTGGCGTAGAGAAATGGAGGCACCCCAAAGCTGCTAAATAGTTTGGAGAAAATAGACCCTGGAAAATTAGCTTGGTAGCTGTCAAGTGCAGTGCTCTTCTGCGGACCAGGTGCTGAGGGACCATGAATGCATGGATGCCGTGCGAAGCAGAAATGTCACGGGCAGACTTCCCCACACGTCCCTGCCAGCACGTCTCAGCCCTCCTGTGCACACCTGTCTCAGCTATGTACAGAGACTGGTACCATTCGGTGCCAGTTTCCCTGGTTATATTCATGACCTTCACAAAGGCTAGCATCTTGGGTGGGTTGGTTGCTGAGAGTGGTGGAGCGGGGGGGATTTTGAAAAGCATGGGCAAGATCCTGCTAATGCGCACAGACCAAATATCCTTGGGAGAGAAGCTTTCCAGCCAGCTCTGCGGCTGGCTTTGGTGTCATCAGGCCTCTCTGCTGGCACGGCGGGGTCTGTGCATGTTCACCAATGTGCAGGGTTGTTGCCTTAGTACTGAAAGGCTCTGGCCTCTCTCACCCCTGTTGTCCCATTTATTACATTCTCCGTGTGTGCGGTGGGGTGTCTAAGGATGTCGAGTGACCGGCAGTCTGCGTCATGCTCCATCTGGACATCCTCTAACTCCATGGTTATTTGAAACAATCAAGCAGATGCAGTGCCGGCGACTGTGGTGCATCAACATCGATGGAGCTCACAAAGGATGCCGGACCCAACACACGCCATGGGCGGACGGGACAGAATGTGAGCCGGGGAAGGTAGGACATACCTATGTGCCAGCCCCCCTTGAACACAATAACATAGCTGCTGCTACGTGAGCTACCCTAGGGCAGCTACACGTCTCTTTGTTCCTGATCCCCGTGTAGTTTTCATCAGCATACAAAACTGGAAATAAGAATATCTATTGTGTATGTGGTTTGGTCTGATTTAAGATTCCAAGATTTGGATCCATATACAAAAGCTTTGTGTCTTGCAAAATCCTGAGTGGCAAAAATCACCTCTAAAAACCTTAGGCGACTGCAGCATTGATGCCTACACAGTCAGATGGGTGGCACATTGGCTCAGTGGTCGCACCCAGAGAGTGGTGGTGGACAGGTCTTATTCGACCTGGAGGGATGTGGGCAGGGGAGAGTCCCCCAGGGCTCGGTCCTTGGGCCTGCACTGTTCAACATCTTCATCAGTGACTTGGAGGTGAGCATGGAAAGCACGCTGTCCAAATTCGCTGACGACACAGAGATGTGAGGCGAGGTGGGCACACTGGAGGGAAGGCACACAATCCAGCTAGACCCAGACAGGTTACAGGGGAGGGTGGATGAGAATTGGATGGAGTTCAACACAGACAAGTGCAAGGTGCTGCATCTAGGGAGAAGGAACCAGCAACACACCTATAAGCTGGGGAACTCCCTTCTTGTCAACACGGCGGCAGAAAGGGATCTTGGAGGAGAGGCGATGGGACCTGAACCTGTTCATCCTCCACAAGAGAAGGCTGAGAGGGGGTCTGGTGAGAGGCCATCTATAAACTCACCAGGGGGGACCATCGGAAAAATAGGTGAGGCTCTGTTCCCCCTGGGCACCACCTGGGATAACAAGGAGTAACAGCCACAAATTGGTTGAGAGCAGGTTCAGGCTTGATATCAGGAGACATTACTTTACGGTGAGGGCTGCCAGGCTCTGGAACAGGCTCCCAAGGGAGGCGGGGGTCTCCCCCACCCCGGGGGTCTTCAAGAGGAGGTTGGATAGCTATCTGGCTGGGGTATTATGATCCCAGCACTCGTTCCTGCCCAGGGCAGGGGGTCAGACTTGATGATCTGTTCCCTTCTGACCCTGGAAACTATGAAATCTGAAGTGATATCTTTTATTAGACCAGCTGAATAGTTGGAAAAAAGCACTTTGCAAGCTTTCAGGCTTTTTTCCAACTGGGTCGTTGGAAAAAAGTTCTTTGCAAGCTTTTGAAAGTTTGCAAAGCACTTTTTGCAACGACTCAGTTGGTTTAATAAAAGAGATCATGTTTTACCCAAAGAACCTGGCCTGCCTATGTCCTTAGACCAACACGGTTTACAACCAAAAACCCAGCAAAAAACTGGAGTGAAGTTCATTGGAAGGGAGAACTATTTTTTTGTACCGTGCTATAATGTGGCCGCAGCCCTGTCAAACCACTGCGTGCTGACTAATGCCTTGCTTCACATCTGCATGCTTAGAGTCCGTGATATATGGATTGGCTTAGAAAATACAGTGCCATTTTTTTACAGAGATATCTTTGGAACTAAAAGAGCGTGCATAGCTAAGAAAAGTCTTGAGATAAAACTACTGGGATGCAGGCTCTTAATCATATTCTTACAGATAGTCCAGTAACAGAGGAGCGGTAACTGGCACGTACTTTGAATGTGAGGGAGCTGAAGCTGGTATCACTAAATCAAGTAATAATCCAACCTCAGATATTGGCCTGGGGGAGTACTAGTCACGATCATTTACTCTGTTTCGCAGTAACAGCTCATCACGGATTTAAAATAAATCAGTGTGTTGCAATGCAAAATGGGGCAGGCTTATACGCTTAGATCTGTATCTGTTGTGGTTGAAGGAACTATTTAAAAAATGGGGAAATCGGAGCAGAGGTACTGGGATGGCAGCAGAGAGGCATAATCATCGCTCCTGGTTTCTAGTTCAGGCATCGCGCGCGTTTATGTACGCACAGAGCTGCGCGGCCCCGGTCTGCCCACGTACGGCATTGGCATCACCGTGTTACCTCGGGGTCCCTGGGAAAGACAGAGGAGGGCAGAGACTCTTGCAGCGTCGCCGCCTCCACCACGGCCCTCCTGTGTGACTTTTGGCCCGTTTAAGCTATTTGGAAGTTGCTGCAGACAAAACCTGGATGAGCAGCAGCATTTCCACTTCTGCCCTAAGCTGTGGTCTCAGAGAGAAAAGAATCGTGGCAGATGCCTTGCTGGTTTTTTTTTTTGTTGGTTTAATTCTTATGATTTCATCACAAAAAAAAAAAAAAAAAAGATTTTTAAATGCAGATGTAAGGGGAAAAAAATGCAGGGAAGTTAGCCGGCCAGAATAATCCCGGTATGCGTCTATGAAAGGCAGTCGTGTTTCTGTTTGTTGAAACGGCACCCTCCTGCCTCTCTCTCGAACGGCATGCTCTTTATGATCCTAGATTATTTTTAATGCAATCAATAGATGAGTGTAATTTCCTGGCTGAGATCTAACCTCAGCCGTCAGACATGAGGCTTGTAAATCGTGTCATGGTCTGTTAGTTGAGTAACATTCACAAGTTAGTTATTCAGTCTGCCTCCCTGGGCCATCGGTGCCGAGCGTGGCTATGGTTATGTATTAGGTGCAAGCGTCAACGTTTCTGCAAGGAGTTTCTCCCCGGGGACAGCGCTGCCATGTTTCTCTACTCGGATGACAGCTGACCCACCCTCTATGCCGCAAAACAATTGGCATTGGGCCCTGTCCTGCGCTTGGTTGTGCAACCCTTCAGCTGGAGTTACATAAAGTGAGGATTAGCAGCTTTGGTTCCCCGTGGAGTAACAGGCATCACAGGACTTGGGAATAAATCCTGCACGACATGGGCAATGGAGAGGATGCTTTAAGCTGAAGGTCAAGCTCTTCTTCAGCCTGGAGATCCCAGCCTTGTGTTGTGCCATCATCCTGGACCAGGTAGCAGGGCTGCAAAGCCAGCTTATTTCCTTAGGAAGTGTAGCTGGGGGAAATGGGGTGAACCAGGGGTGTTGAGAGGCCACTACTGTACAACGCGGCGGCACGGAGAGTGGAGCGGATGTGAAGGCAGAGCAATTAACCCGCGGCAATCGCTGTCCTCTTCAGGTGGGCAAAGGTTGACCCGCAGGTGGGCAAAGGTTGACCCGCAGGTGGGCAAAGGTTGACCCGTGTCCCTAGGAGCTGCCATGGGGATATTGAATCTGCAGAAACCTGTTGGCATAGGAGTGAGACACGGGTACTGTGTTTTGCTGACTGCTCGCGTAGCCCAAGTCTTGTGTCGTTGCTGGGATTTGAACACAAGGTGAATATGTCTGGTTTGACGTATGGCCCCTAATTGTGATGGCTTTTGACTTTCCCTAGCAGGAGAAAGCTCCTTCCAGCCTTTCCCTTTCTGTCCCAGAATGGAAATGGGGTCTGGGGGTAGAAAACGAAGGTTGGGATCTGGAGCTCAAGGTTGCTTCGCCTGGGGCTGACTTAGGGTCTTTGGGGATGAGTAACACTGAAAAAGTGGGGGTGAGGGTAAACCCTAGCTCTTCTCAGACCTCTTGCAGAGGTTTTTCAAGTGGATAATTCTGCAGACGTTGCTAAAACTCCCCCTAGGTTTCCTAAGGCCTTGGTGACTGATGGCTGAGATGAAGCAAACAGACCCTGGCAGGCTGGAAAAAGCTGGGTACCTCAGCAGATTCTGCTTCCATTTCCATAGAGATGGCTCCATTTCTTTTTCTGCCAATCCAGCCACAGCAGCCATCTCACTAGTTTTGTTGACACAGCATTAATTTGATGAATGGGTTGTGATTTGTCTAAATATTTGAGCGCGGTTTCGCTTTCGCTACGAGCATGTCAGCATTTTATTTGCAAACCCAGTTTTTCAATAAGTTTATCACTTGCCCGGTTAAAGGCCTCGTCCAGCCACGGCTGACTCGTAATGAGTTGCGCTCCTTCTCCGGAAACAGACTTAAAAATGATATCGGGAGGCAAGGAAGTCCTGGCGTCCGTCAGCGGCTCTGTGGTGTTGTGCAAATAGTTTCATCTCTGCCTGGGTTTTCTCAGCCAAAATTTACTGGCCTGGGTGCGGGAGTTATTAAGTGAAGTTTTTCGGCCTTTTTTATGCAGGGAGTTGGATGAGATGCACGCAGCTCTGTGCAAAGGGAGTGACAGCACTTGGTTTCCTCTCTTATAGGCACCGTCATGGGGATGAGCAACTTCCTATTCTAAAGTGGTTTTCTGAATATAAGTATCATGATATATTCCTAGCAGCCGGTTCCCTCCAGTTAGGCTTATTTTTGTTTTTACGGTGGCTCCTGATTCCTGAAGGGTGACTTTGGTTGAGCAAGATGCTGTATGATTGTGCCTGAGACTGGATGTGAAGCAAATCAGGCAGTTTCCAGATGATATAAAAGAAATGCATCACAGTGACAGTGGATATGCTGCAGTTCTTCACCACCTGCGCTACTCGGGAGGTTTTGCACGCAAGCATCCTTGTTAAATGCAGCCGTCAGGCAGGGTGACTCTAGCTAATCCCGTTATACTCCCAAAAACTTTATGGGGAAAACTTTACACAAAACCCTCGCCTGTTGTTGAGAAAAGGGATTCCAGGAGCGCTTCGATGTCCGAGGAATACCCATTAACACAATAGTCATGCTAAAAGATCCAGGGATTTGAAGCAGCGTACCATCAGAAAGCATTTGATTTCTTTCTGGACTCAGCTTGGTGATTAAGACCATGCATAAGTCCTGTTGGCTCTGCTGACCCTGCGTGGACTGATGAACCAGGATCATATCTGATGCTGCTGTTAATAAGACCGAAATAGGTGTTTAAAAGCAGCACTTCAGACACTCCAGTTAGAGACTGAGCGGTCTGGCTACTACTTTACCCTCCGATTCTGCGCATCTGCGTCTTTGTATAAATAATCTTGCACAAAAACGACCCGCTTGCATTAAGTGACTCATGTGCTCTAGCGTTTGCAGGCCCAGGGCTGTTTCATCTCCCCGGGCTTAGGAATTGCAGAACAGGTGATCTGCTCGCCCGTTGTTCAGAAATCCCTTCAGCCTCCAGAGGCAGCAGGATGAGATGCCGGCAGATGGGCAAACTTAGATTAAATTAAATTTTCTTCCTCCTCCCCCAGGTGTCTGAGCATTGTGGCCCCGGAGCGTTGTTTTTTAATGTAAAGCTAGTATGGAGCACGTATCTGTATTCATGTGTTTTTAGATCCAGAAGGGAGTATTAGGATCATCTCCTGCAAGCTCCTGCCTAGCCCAGTTCTCCCAGGAACAGAGGGGAACGGTGTGCTGCAAGCACCCAAAAGCTTGGGCTAAGTACAAGATTCGTGTCTTTTTAGAAAGATGCCCCCTCTCCTTCAGACACCTGCAGCAAATGAAGAATGTATCACTTCTCTGGGAGAGTGGCTGCAGCAGTTAATTACCCCAATTATCTTACTTTCAATTAACATGAAGCATTTAACCTTCTTGCTTCTTGAAATGCTCACATTCAGGATTGCAGGGGGATATTGCAATGGCATGGGTCTTTCCTTAAAAAAAAAAAAAAAAAATCCCTTATCTTTCTAGTTTGAAAATACCAGTATTTCCAAGAGATACATACTGGTTTTGTTCAGTATCTTCATCAGTGACCTGGCAGATGGGATGCGGTGCACCCTCATCAAGTTTGCAGATGACATCAAGCTGGGGGGAGTAGTAAATACACTGGAGGACAGGGCTAGGATTCAGAGTGACCTTGACACATTGGAGGGTTGGGCCAAAAGAAATCTCATGAGGTTCAACAAGGACAAGTGCAAAGTCCTGCACTTAGGACGGAGCAATCCCGTGCACCGGTGCAGGCTGGGGGTGACGGGCTGGGCAGCAGCTCTGCAGAAAAGGACCTGGGGATGACGATGGACAAGAAGATGAACAGGAGCCAGCAGTGTGCCCTTGTTGCCAACAAGGCTAACAGTGTCCTGGGCTGCATCGGTAGAAGCGTTGCTGGCAGATCGAGGGCAGTGAATCTTCCCCTCTATTCAGCGCTGGGGAGGCCACATCTGGAGTCCTGTGTCCAGTTGTGGGCCTCCCACTACAGAAAGGATGTGGACAAGTTGGAGAGGGTCCAGTGGAGGGCAATGAAAATTGTTGTGGGCTTGGGGACATGACTGGTGAGGAGAGGCTGAGGGAACTGGGCTGATTTAGTCTGCAGAAGAGAAGACTGAGGGGGGATTGAATAGCAGCCTTCAGCTCCCTGCAGGGGGGCTGCAAAGAGGATGGAGCTGGATTGGGCTCAGGGGGGGCAGATGACAGGACAAGGAGCAATGGGCTCAAGTTACAGTAAGGGAAGTTGAGGTTGGATATTAGGAAAAATTTTCTCATGAGGATGGTGGTAAAGCATTGGGACAGGTTACCCAGAGAGGTGGTGGACTGTGCATCCTTGGAGGTTTTGGGTAGACAAAGTCCTGGCTGGGATGATGCAGTTGGGACTGGTCCTGCTTGGAGCAGGGGGTTGGATGAGATGTGACCTCCTGAGGTCCGTTCATACCCTCATTGCCTCTGAGTCTATTAATTAAAATGTGTATGGGAGTTAACAGCACTTATAGTCCTCCCTGGAGAATGTGTTGTCCATGGATGCTTTGCCATCTGCTTCCCTGGGGTCAAGGTTTGCCCTGTTGTTCCTCAAGCTTTGCCCACTCTGGCCTGTATGCTCAATCCAGCAAACAAGTCGTGGGAGAGGTGCAGCTTATGCCAACAAAGGAGTTATTTTTTGTCATGGTTGCTTATGCCAATTCTCCAGACAGAATGAACCACGTAGGCAACAGCATTAGTTTTGCCAGTGGCATTTGACACTCGCCCTTTGGCTAGGCGAGCTCCATTGGTTAAGTGTGTGGAAGAGGGCTGGGTCTGCCACCGCTGTTACTAAAATGGAAATAAATTCATTCTTCCACTGAAGTAGGTTAAGCGCTCTGGTTTAAAGTCCAAATAGAAAATGACCACTCCACTTGCAAGTGACAAAGCTACGCCAGCAAAACTTAAGTGAAGACCAGGTTTTTGGATGAAATTGTGATGTGGAAAAAACACGTTGGGATGAGGAATGATTACTCACTAGTTTAATCTGCCATTTTTAGTGACTTATTTCCCTTTTTTCTGGTGTTGCATCTGGTCTCAACGAGACTTGTTGTATATATCCCTGTCTGAAACGATGTGGCTCCTACCTCTAGCCAGAAAATCAGATAAGTAATTTCCACCCCCCACCCACCCAAAGCTAGCCCTGCTAATGCTGCTTTGTGGTTCAGGATCAGTAAACAGGGAGTATTGTGCAGCTGGCATTGCCGTTGTCCTTTTCTCCATAAATCGCTTCTCTGGGAGCCTTCACCATTTAAGGATGCAAAAGTTTGAATCTGCTTTTGTGGCCGTATTGTTTGCAGAGCAGCGTGCCGCCGCACGTTCTGCGCTGGTTGCTGGTGAAGTCCAAGGGGCCCCGATTCGGGAAGGCATTTAAGCATGTCCTTAAAGTTAACACAAAGTGTGGACTCCAAAGGGCTTTCCTAACCAGGTCCTGGGAGTTTCATAAATAGGCTTGGATCAAACCCCTTGATTTTTATTGCCCTGGCATTTAAACAAATCTCTCTTCGCAGGTTTATGCAAATGGGGTTTAGGTGACAAAGGAGCAATAGATAAAGTTGGTTTGTCAATTGTCCGTTTTCATTTGAATGCATTGTTTAAGAAGAAGCAAGCAAAGGACTGTGGGCTAAAGAGTAAGATAATATTTTTGCTGGCCTCCAGGCTCCGGTGTATTGGTGTTCATTGGTTTTTGTCTTGTCCTGTTTTGCATGCAGCACTGTCGGTATGGGATGTGCGTTCCCAAAGAACGGGAGGCCCCCGTCATGGATGGAGCCTGGGGGTCCTGGAGTCCTTTTGGGACCTGCTCGAGAACCTGCGGCGGGGGCATAAAAACTGCAGTCCGTGAATGCAACAGGCCCGAGTAAGTACACGGGCGATGCATGCCCTGCTTTTCAATCTTCCTAAGCATCACTTGAGAGACCTGGCCTGAGCAGACCAGAGTATCGATCAGGCCACCGAGACCCTAGAGCTGATCATCTGTGTATATTCAGATATTGCAACGCCTGAAGTGGAGGCTACACCCTGCTCTCATGGACCTTGAGCCATTGCAGTTTCACCAGGAAAAGACTAGCTTGCCATTGTTGTGTGAACACACGCCATGTGGGCCTTTAATAGTTCAATGAGGGGTGTGTGTTGAGACCAGTGTGTAAGAGCCTGGTGCATGTGAGCTTCAGAAGAGAAGGAGGAAGCAGAGGGAAATGTTGGCGCCCTCGGTTTCCAGGGCAGATTGGTCCAGTCCAAGCTGTAGAAAGTGCTCTGAGCGTGCAAGGGCTGTGCCATGACCATCCCCACTCCAGCTAGTGTCTCTGGCTGGAGATTTCTCTGCCATTTCTCCTTGATGGGGGAGGAAGACACCATGTAGGTGTTAGTGAGCCCAGAGTGCCATTTCTCCCGCTTTGCAGGGAGGGGAAACTCCAGCTGCATCTCTTTTTTTTTTTTTTTATCCTCTCCCCTTACCAGCTCCTGCTGCTCCTGCCAGTTAGAGATCCTGTGCAATACTCCAGAAATCTCCACCCTATTAAACCATAGCATTTAAAAATGTTTTCTGTAAGGATGCATGCAAAACAAAATCTTGGACCCTTGGAAATCACAGGGATTTTTGTCCTTGACCTTGAATGGGATCAGCATGTTTCCTGCAAAATATTACTATTAGCTTAAGTGATTGCTTTGAAAGCTGTCTCTTTACAGCAGCGGCTCTGCGGGCTTCTGCCTTAGCTGTCTGCTCTCTGTCTTTGTTAACCTGGAGGAGTGAAAGAAAACCGTTCCAGGTGAGGCAGAGGGAGGGAGCGGAGGGCAGTGGAGAGGATCCTGGAGGGTTGGTCGAAGGAAGGGGATTTGAAATAAAATGCAAGCCAGCGCTTTGAGACAGGGCTCATTCGACTTCCTTGCCTCGGGTCTCAAAGAGCTTATTGCCAAGCAAATTGCCATTAGTGATGCATTGGTGTTGGTTTCTGCACCACTTCATAAAATCGTCTGCAAGCCTTTTGAAGTCAGTGGTAGATGAGTGTTAATTGAGGAAGGGAGATCTTTATACCTGGGAGACCGGCCTGAAAGCAGTGCAAGGAGGGGGCAGCTTGGTTCGTGTGGCCAGACCTCAAAATAAAGGGAGAACTGAGGCTGAGGGGAGCAGGCATCAGCCAAGGAGTTCAGTGACCGCTGAGAAACCCCACAGGTGTGGCAAGCATTTGCATTTCAGGGGGCCCGGCTGCGATGGGTCGGCAGGGGCCATATGGTCCCCTCTCACTTGGAGCATTGAGCAATGGAGAAACAGGACGGTTGTTTCCAGAGAAATCATAATTGCATGCACAGAGGAAGCACAGCGTTGTACACGTGGACGTTCCTGGCGTGTGGAGCACCATCCATTTGGATTGCGGCAGTTTGCAAGGAAACCACGCGGACCTAACAGAGGAGTTGAATTTAGTACCTCGTGGGAAACACTGGATAGTGGGGTCAGGTTTTCGTAAATGCCTAAGTGAGTTAGGCTCTCAGTTCCCATTGGACTTGGGTGCTTTAACTGTCTTAGAGATGTATTTGGTAGCCGTGTTGGTCCGAGACAAAGAGAAATGCAAAAATCTACAACTCTTGGTTCAGAGATTGCAACCAATGGAGAAATGGCAAAAAAAATTATATTTTTCTGCAAGCTTTAAAGGTGGTCAAAAGCCCCTGTTTTTCCTACCTCTGGGGACTTTTGACCACCTTTAACTTTCTCTGAGCCTGATGAAAGCTTGCGTGTGAGCCTGAAAGCTTACAGAAAAATATATATATCTTTTTTTTTTTGCAATTTCTCAGTTGCTCTAATGAAAGGTACCATCTCTGAACCAAGAGTCCTAGAGTTTTGTATTTCTTAACTGTCTTATGCACTATCGAAATTCTCAGTTTGAAAACAGCAAAGTGTGCTTATTCTCCTTCATTTCTTTCAAGGAGATGCAACCCTCTTGAGCCCAACCTGAAGTGTGCACAGGGAGAAGTTCTGCCCTCCCCGGTCCCTAGAGGTTCACCAGGATGATCCTTTGGCCATTTACATTTGACATCATGGGGTGACCGCCCAGGCTCTGCCTTCTCCTAATCAGCAGATCTCTATAATGGGACAGATATGAGCAGGATCAAAACATTGTTGGAAGGAGTGAACGTATTGCCAGTTTCCTCTCCCCTTCTCTTTGAAACATTCGTTTTTCCCTAAAATACTTTTTTCTAAAATATAAGAAAGAACTAGTTAGGCAGTTTTATCCTTGAAGCATGTTGACTTTATTTTTTTTTTTCTTACACCTTGGATAAAGAAGACAAGGCAGCCCAGGTATCTGAAGCCAGAGAATTTGACTTTTTCTGCGCAGTGTGCGCTAAATGTTGAAAAGTTTTTGGTACAACGGATTGAGGTTGGCAGCTTCTAGGCTATAGAGCCGTATAGCGTGAAGAGCTGGGAGCCTCCCAGGTGCAGCGTTTCGAGTGATAAAAAGCCCATTTAGTCTTACTGGGAGCGGTGCTACTGCCCCTGCCTGTAATCGGCTCTGGCACTTACATGGATGAGCACTTTGTAGGAAGTTGTAAGCCTCTAAGATGGGAGCAGACTGTGTTTTGACAGGCACTTAAAGGATTGTAGCAGCAAATCAGACCAGACCCTTCCTACAGAGACCTTTCACTTGGGGAATCAAGGTACAGATGAAGCCAACTGCTGCCATATATCGCATATGGTATCAGTACGGCTAACTCTGCATTGCAGAATGAGGTGTGGTTGTGATAATCGTATGAAAAAGTGCAACTCTTAAGACATCAGCACTGGCGGCTCTCTTTTCATGAAAGGTCTCTGGTATTATCGCCAAACGTGGTTGTAGTCACGTCTCCATTTTTAGTATATCCCAAGAATATCCACACGCTGGAGCTGACTTGGCGTGACATGTAAGCACGTCTGCAAACCAGTCTGTTGGGCCACTTACCCACTGAGGAACTGGTTATGCAATGCTTGGTAAAAAAGCTCTGGGTTAAAAGATGCATTAGCCTCTTCTACTGAAGCACGGTCAGTCTCTTTGCAAAGAAGCAATCGCATATCTTTTACAGCCAAGTTTTCAAAGCGTGGCTTGCGCTTGTGTGCATGTCATCACTGCACACATTTATTGCACACTTTCAGCTGAGCGCAGAAGCTCCAGGACAGAAAGACACTAGGTTTCGTGCACACACACACATACGCATGCACGTGCACACACACCTGTTTGCCCAAATAAATGGCAGAGCAGGGGTTTGTATAGAAAATTGCATGAGCACACCTGGACAGGGAGTGCATGCCCATTTGGAGGACATGACTCTCCTGGATAGATCCTTCTTTGATGCGTGTGAATTGAGCTGTAATTCTGCAGTCTACCCCTAGAAATGAAGTATTTGGTAAGGAAGATTGTCCTGGCAACACCTGGCTTGACCCCTGCAACTCAGAACATGTAAACCCAGTTCGTGCCAAACATTATGACTGGGATTTTTAATAAGTTTCTTCTGTTCGTCCGCGAGCAGATTTGCAGCTGAATCACGTGTGCTGCCACACTGCGATGTACATGTTCAAAACCCTTTTGTGGGAGCAATTTGAGCACCACTGAGAATTGCTCAGGGAAACTGTGTCACTAGTGTCGACGGCGGTGTGCTACATTACACGCGCACACCCTTTTTTAAGCATGTTTCTGGACAGGGGGTTGGATCCAGGTTTCTTTAACCAGTCATAATGGCTTGGGTGCCTTGAATAAATGAAGCTTCATATTGACATCAAATATATTCTATATTTGAAACAAGTTCGCGCAGGAGCAGGATGACCTGAGGCATCCTGATCTAATAAGCCGCGTACTGCAACTCTTGTATTTTTATGCCTTTGGGAGTGACTCAGCCCGGGCTGTATGCAGTATCCCAGTTGGATGCAGAATATTGTCGGAGTGGAAATAGAGTTCATAACAGAAATTACCTGTGAAAAGAGATGCTTCTGGTATAGTGGGAGTGTGCATACAATGGGGTGACCTCTGTAGCTGTGTGATGACTATGTATAAAAACGCTGGATGAGTCTCCGATGTGCCAGTGCTTCTTTGTGACACTAAAAATGTCACGTGCAATCGGTGAGACTTCACGCTCTGTGAAATCGGTTCGTTTCTCAGGCTTAGGGTCAGAGTGCCCTGTTTACTCAGATTTTGTGAAAAGCAATATTAAGTCATTAAAGTTTTTAAAGAGCCTGAAAAATTGTCAGGATGGTTTAGGGCTAGTTTGAAATGTCAGTGTTATAAGTGTGCTTAAGCCTCAAATACTGGCTGAAGAGAAATTTTAATGACAAAGTTATGAAACTGGCACCTCCTGGCAAGATGGTGATTTTTTTTTTTTTTTTTTTTTTTTTTTTTTACAGCTCTTGGTTTACGGTTGCCTGGTGAATACAGCAGATTAACTGTAATCAGAAGTTTCCCATCTAGGGAAGGAAAGTGGATAATTGTATATGGTCTGTAGACCTACTTTGATCTGGTGGGGTACAACACGAATCCTGCATCCTTTTTGTTTACGACCATCATAGAAAGAAGCACATCTTCTCTTAATGAGATGTGTTCATAATTGAAGCATTGTGCTTAGTAAAAGAAAGAAAAAAAAAAGGCTTCATATAATCAGAATATCTCTCTTAAATGGTCTGTTTAAGAATTCTGCATAATTTAAGGCCACCGTGTAATTACAGCGATTGGAATAGAAAGGTTTCCAAATGAAAGTAGCGCTTGAATCAGTTTAATTTTTGAAACCTACAATGAATGATTTAGGTTTGAGAGCGATCGGTAATGTTCATGTAAGGATGAAAATGCTTAGAACTCAAAATTCAACTTCTGTTCTTATGTAAGCGCTCCATCTGGAGCACTGCAAAGTGAGAGTTGAGAGGGTAGTCTAAAGTTAGACAGAAAGTAGGTCTAGGTGGTACCTTGGAGACTAACTTGCTCCAAGAGGCATGAGCCTTTGCAGACAGCAACCTACTGCTTCAGATGCTATGAAAGGATGCAGAAAGAAAAGGTTTTATACGGAGAGGAAGGGACACCTCTACGAGAGTAGATCGATGGGCTCGGTTGAGATGCACAAGGCAGTTAACGCCTCGAGGGACAATGGTGTTAATAGCAGTCCAGATAATGGGATAAAAATCTGTAGTTCCCGTTGAGACCATTCACACAATCCAGCCCATGGATGATGTCTTGTTCCACATTTCAGCGTTGAAGCTGGGTTTTTTGTTTGCTCATATACGGACAAAGTGATGGGACGCCGGGAAGGTTAAAGGGTTCTGCGACAGATTTCTATGACTTTTGGACTCAGTCAGATGCGTATCCATTCATTTGCTTACACAGGTAGCAGAGGGGCACTATAAGCAAGTGATGGCATGTATTGGGGTGGCCATGTATCACGGGTACACTGGGGAGGGGGCAGGCAAGCAGACATTTGCTCATCTGTGCCTCAGTTTCCCCCATCTGTATAATAGGAATTATGCAATTTCCTGTTAAAAAACTCATTTTTTGCACTACGGGGGAGAGGTAATGTTTGGATAAGATAATGCAGGGAGCAGAAAGTGGAGCAGCAGATCGGGTCAAGGGAAGGGATCTGAGCAGCAGATCGGGTCAAGGGAAGGGATCCGAGTGGCACTGGGAGGGTGCAGGGCTATTTTAGCATGCCTGCCAAGAAGGCTGGTCCCAGTGGCATAGCTGATGCTGGTGGAGGGGCAGGTGAACAACACCCAGATGTTATCATATTGGGTGTTTGGTCCAGCGAAGGACGTGGTCTGTGTTGATGAGGGACGACGCCTGGCATGGGGGGCTCTAGTAAGGCTTGGTGAGAATTAGAGCGATGCAGTCTGTTGCTGGAGAGACGTTTGATGTCGGGGCTGGGAATCTGGGGGAGATTTAGATAGACCCGAGTGTCTGCTTTGGAGACGTAGCCCATGCAAGAAACCCAGACCCTGCAGCCTTCAGTTTTTGCTCAAAATCATTCATGCCCTATTGCTCATGCTAAGGCCTGATGCTCACACTAAAAGGGAGTGCACAAGCATTGAATAGCTTTAAGCCGGGGGAGGCACTGGAATTGGAGACTGGAGCTCTGGGTCCTCCACGGCTGGACTAGTGTCCTGCTAAGCAAGAGCATTTGCTTGTTCGTGCCTCAGTTTCTCCCATCTATATAATAGGAATTATCCTGTCATTTGTAAACTGTGTTGAGATCTATGGAAGATAGCTCCAGAAGAACTAAAAAAGGCTATTAAAAAGAGATCGTACGCTCTCGGTTGTAGGCCGTACATCACGTCTTTTTTTTTTTTTATGGTGTGGGAGATATTAAAATAATAACTTGGCCAATTATATAGCTCGCTGTCAGCCCGCTTATTGAAGATCCTCTCATAATATGCACAGTTTCTTTCATTTCAGGTTAATATTGCGGCTCGTTAGGGAAATCCCAGGAAGTCTTTTAATTTAAAACGTGTATCTTGTCATTGGTTTGACTTGTGGAAATCCAGTTGTGCTGGGAATTTTGGAGCACCCGTGGATGTTACACTTGCAGCTCCTAACGGCATTCAGGGTCCTGCCTGTGCATTTAAAAATCAGGCTTGGGTTTATGAAATGCTGCTTTCTACTAGGTAGACTTTGAGGTCCGCACGTTTAGCAGTCATGAATGGTCTTGTGCTTTTACAGCTGATCAAGAGAAAAAAAAGGAGGGGGGAGTACATGAAACAGAGACCTGGTTAGTACACCTCGAGTGGCAGCCGTTTTACAAGCCCCACCATTGAGATTAATGTTATTGCATCCCCTTTTGTGCTGGTTATGGCTTGGTATAAGTTTTGCCCCTTGGATGCTGTTTTTTTTATGAGTCATCTAAATTGACCTCTCCTGCCTTTAATTTAAAATGCAATCACGCTCCTTCAGTAACACCAGGGAAGGAGAGAGCTGCTGCCTCTGCATTTGATTGCATTACCAAACTATTGAGTAAACACCCATTTGGGTGTGGGAGCTCACAACTGGGTGCACCAATAACTTTATTTTCCACCCTAGGGACCTGTAGCTTGAAATGGCAGATGTAGACAGCAGTTCATGCACATTGGGCCAAACTCAGCAAGTGCCTTCTGGTGCTATTCCTCTGCCGTATTATTTTTGTTGTTCAACTGCTGCATCTTGGTATTCCTGGTTATTCAGCAATACGGTCCTGTTGTGCAGGGTAGCGTATGAACATAGCACAGGCGTTATGGCATATGCCTACGGTGGGTTACCATCTGGGTCTGAAACCAGAGGAAGAAGCAGATACAAGAAACAGAGGGAGCACCGAGAGACAACGCACTGATGCATCTCCGGACACCCGATGCATACTCATTGTTGAGGGTGTTTTTTTGCTGGCCGGGTAGCAGAAGGGAGTTTGAAAGAGGGGCTTTGCAAAGTTGATGAGGAGGTTTTGCAGATATATCTAGAGACCCCCTCAGGTATGAGGGGAAGCGTGGGAAAAACCTGAAGCTGATTGCTGGAAACTTTACAAGTAGGTGACAAGTAGCCGAGTAGCTTTTACACTGCACCATTGCCTGTTTTGCAAGGCATTGTGCATCCTTTGTCACGCTCTGAAGTCTTAGAAGTGGCCCGTTGAAGTATTATCAACATTTCCAGGGCAGTCGTCCTTTGGACTGACCTTCCAGTGAGTCCTATAGTGAAAGTGCCTCCTCTTTGTACCTCTAGCACCACATCCTGAGCGCTCAAGCTCTTGTCATTGCTAAAGCTTGCCTCTAGTACTTGAGACCTGCGGTTTGGGAGTGAGGGACCGGGGGCTTTTCTCTGGGTCTTGAGTAAGCCACTAACTAGCAACAGCCGTGTCTGTATGTGCGGGACTTCTGTGCTTAAAGCGGTGGATATGGGCATCGGGGTCCATCGCCTGCTAATCCACAGGCTTTTCCTGAGACTTTGGAGCAATCACTTTGCTTTATTTGTGCTTTATTTCACCTCTTGTAGACCGAAAAAAAAAATCTTTGTCTTCCAAAGCACGTTATGAAGGCATTTGAGCTCTTCAGGAAGAAGCTGGTAGCAGTGTCACCCTTATTGCTAGCCCACCTTTAGGTGACAGATTCCTACCTGGTAAGAGGTACCTTCTGCAAGTTGGCCATTCCCCGTCCGCTCACGGCTTGCTCAGTGGGGCTGTCCCCTGGAGATCTCTAATAAAGGTGGGAAGAAACAGGGACTCTTTATTTTCAGTTCCAGAAGAAGTGTTAAAAGAAACCGAAACAAAACACCCAGCTTTCAGCAATTTAATAGAATATAATTGTGGGATGTGTCACTCGTAGGATCGAGCTAGATCCTCCGTTGGAAAGTCTCCCAGTTGGATCCATGGGCTTTGCATCGGACCTGGGCTACGCCAGCACAGGGTGTGATCCAAGTCGTCAGGGTAAAGCTCCTGAAGCAGCTGTTGTGAAAGGCAGTGGAGCAAAATTGCAGAGTCCCCCGTTGTCTCCACGTCGGACGACAGGTCTCTGGACCGCGGGGAGGCAGAAGGGACAACGGCTGGCTGTGACTTGCCACAGCTCTCATTGCCAAGCTGTTGTTGGGATGGTTTAGTTGTTAGCTACAAGCGCCCTGTGCCGTTACAACAGCAGTGAGGTTAAGGACAAATTTTCGATAGAAAAGCTTATCTTTTGCACTGGGGAAGAGAGGTGATGCTCGAATGCGAGGCCCAGGGGCTGCCAGCTGGTTGTGATTGATAAGCTCTGCATTTTAAAACTTGTGGGTGTGTATGTTTTTTTTTGTGGGTTTTTTTTTACAGACCCAAAAACGGTGGAAAATACTGCGTGGGGCGTCGAATGAAATTCAAATCCTGCAACACTGACCCATGCTCGAAGCTGAAGAGGGACTTCCGCGATGAGCAGTGTGCTGACTTCGACGGGAAGCATTTCAACATTAATGGTCTACCTCCTAACGTGCGTTGGGTTCCCAAGTACAGCGGAAGTAAGTGCACCGGGAAAGGGTCGGTCACCACCGCGTGGGAGGGACGAAATGGAGGCTAACGCCACCTTCTGCCTTTGCAGTTCTCATGAAAGATCGGTGCAAGCTGTTCTGCAGAGTAGCGGGAAATACTGCCTACTATCAGCTCAGGGACCGAGTCATTGATGGCACCCCCTGCGGCCCAGACACAAATGACATCTGCGTGCAAGGCCTGTGCCGGGTAAGTTGTCTTCCTCCTCCTGTTTAACAAGGTTTTTTCCTTGTTCGCGTGGCAGAGATCACTTGTTTGGCCTGTTTTCTTGCTTTGTTCTTCACCATTATTTGCATGGATGCCTATTAGCAGGGCTTCTTTGGCTCGCCTCGGTGGTGGGGCTGGAGGTCTCAAAATGGTTCGGCATATACAACGCGGGCCAGATTTTAGAGAGGCCTGAGCAAGGCACCTAAGGGCGGCAGGTCTTTGAAACACCACTCAACACACAGGGTGCAGGATCCTTTGGAAAGTCTGGCTTTCGGTATTGCGGTTTTTGCGGGGCTGAGCCCCAATCTACCCCCAATTTCAAGGGGGGTGCGAAATCTAGCACTGGGCTCGCTGGAAGGTCATCCCTTGGAGGAATTCATTTTTCCATTTACACTTTTTTCCACCCCATTTTTCCATTCATACTTTTTTCCCCCCCATTCAGCAGTTCCTCTGTCTAGGAACAACCTATTTAGGATGTCTTTTCATGCTGCACTGCCCTTGTACCAGAACTGGGTAATGTTGCCACGCTGTTTTTGAGCCTGGAAAGCCCAAACCCAGGGCCACACACACCGCCCCTTTGGACCCGGGGGCACTGGTGAGAACTAAGTTATAATAAACTGTCTGCTCTGGAAAGAAATCCCCCCTCCCCTGATCTTGCGGCAGTGTGCACATTGCAGCGGTAGCATCTCGCTTCGTAGACATGCTCTGTTTAAAAAAAGGATCCATTGTGAATGGTGACGCTGCAAGCTAACTAAACACAGGGAAATTAGAAAGCTTTGCCTGGCGGTGGTGTCTGTACACAAATCATTAGCCTGACTTAATTTGAAGACCTGTAAAATTCCGTCGTCTTTAATATTTGTCGAATGTGTCTTTTAACTGTGTCTCATAAAGCAAGCGGGATGTGACCACGTGCTGAATTCAAAAGCAAGAAGAGATAAATGTGGCGTTTGCGGTGGTGATAATTCTTCGTGCAAAACGGTTGCAGGCACATTTAACACAGTGCGTTATGGTAAGAATCTGTTGCTAAAAACTTTACAGAGAAAAACACAGGCCTATAAAACCCTTAATTGCCCATAATCTACAAAAGCACTAATGTAAAATGCAAAATCCCTCCAGCTGCAACATAGTCTCTTTTGGGACTATTTATGCTCTCCCCAGATGACAAGTATTGGTTTCTATACGAGTTAGGTCATTTTGCCCATTTCCCTTCCCCAGTAAAAAGCAAATGAAATGGCTTCATAATAGCCTTGAGTTTCTGTTAAATCTTTTCTAGGTTATAACACTGTGGTCCGCATACCAGCTGGTGCTACAAATATTGACGTGCGTCAGCACAGTTACTCAGGGAAACCAGAAGATGATAACTACCTTGGTAAGCTGTAAAGCCTGTGAGGATCTGGAGTGGGGCTGTATTGAGGTTTGCAAGTTGCTAGCCTTCCTCTGTTGCGGAAAATTCAGCACTTACTTACCAAGAAATAGTTCACTGTCACAAGTACATGCATAATGTCCAAATGCACTAGATGTAATTATGCTTGCCCCATGCAGAGGTTTAGTTTACTAATAAGGCCCCTCCTTGCTGTTGAATTTAGGCAGCTCACAGATTTGAAGCAGTTGATTTATAAAATGAAGCAAAGTGAAACAGGATTCTCATCCCATCGTGTAGGTGGGCACTGAGGCACCAACGTGTTTTACCCCAGGTCAGGCAGGCAAATCTGCCTCCGAGCTGAGGAGTGAATCCAGGTTTTCAGGGTATGCCCTGCAGGTTGCATCCTCATCTACATCAGCTGGGGTATCATGACCTGGGTACCTGTGATAGGGCAGACATGGTAGTGCAGGCTTGAGCAGGTGTGTGTGCTGGCAACCAGTGCACTCGGGCTCGAGGAGGCACTTTCACTGTAGGACTCACTGGGAGACGTACTTTTGCTCCTCGCGTTTGCTGCAGTTACTCCAGCTAGCTAGATTTTATGGGCACATCATGCATGAATTTTCCTGTTGCAATGTGGATATCCCTTATGCATGTGCAGAACGGTCATTTACTGTTTGTTCCCTATGGTTTGGGGTGGAAATCTGGCCCTGTGGGTGGATTTCATACCTGGGCAGAGGCCCAACACATTGAACCCCTGCTTATGCCCCCAAAATAGGGCCTGTTCCATCTGTAGCACAGCTAGGAGTAAGATCCCAGTATAAGACTCAGGCCTTGAGGTTAGCCTAAGATGTCCAGCTTCGCTGAACTTAGTGTCCCAGCTCCTCTTCCTTTGCCCACGCCCTGTGTCTGGCTGGGTAAGCAACACTGCCGTGCGATTTGCTTTCTCTTATCTGCATCTCTTTTATCTGGACAAGAGGACTGCTCTCATTTTTGCAGGTGACTTTGTGACAACAGGATGGTGCTGTTGCTGCAATTGGGTTTATTCCCCACCCCCTTTAAAAAGGCATGTGTTGCACAAAAGAATAAATGTACCAAGGTGCAAGTGCATCTGCTTTCCAGGGCTTGGGTGAGGGGACCAGATGCAAAATCTGCTACTGTGCAGGAGGCCAGTGGGCAGTCAGCATGCCACTTGTATCCATGCCATCCCTTGAAGCAGGGCATTGCTCCGGGGTGAATGCCAGCCTGTCTCACTAATGAGCCTGCTTTGACCCCTGGAAGGGGGACACAGAAGCTCCCCTGAGTGTGGCTATAACAGACGATATTGCAGCCCCCAAAGGGTGGCCTTTGTGCCCATTACAGTGGGCAGAGCCATGCAGAGCCGAACTTGCTGGGCATGAAGGGTGCAGCAAACTGCACCTTGCCAAGGAGTGAAGTGGCTGACTCCTACCCAAAGGCCTGGAGAGGGGTGGTGAATCGCAGCTCCTTCCTGCAAGTCTCTGCAGCTCTTTGGCCAAGTGACAACCCTCTCTGTTAAAGAATAGGAAGACCCTGATGGGGAAGAGCTTAAGGGGCTGTCCTCGGTGCACACCGCTGCTCAGCCTACAGCGCAGTCATCGTTTTAACCCCCACCGCGACAGTCACTCCAGGCATAGGGGCCACCCGTATCAATCTGGTTGCCCAGTGGAGCCGTACTAGGCATCTTGCCATTCCTTACATTGCTAATTAATGGCAAAGTTCATTACTTTTGCATGTGCAGAGGATCCTGGTGGTCTGTGAGGGTGGCCTGGTGATGGCTAGCCAGCGTCTGCAGCCACGGCACGTGAGGAGGGGATGTGGCTTGCATCACAGCCTGCATATTTATAACCCATCAACTAATTAAAATGAGATTGAAGAGTGGCCTGGTGACCAAGAGAGCTGCACCACTTTCTAAACACCTTCTGTCCTTCTCCAGAGGAACCAAGTCCTCTTGATTGAGCCTTCACTTCCCCAGAGAGGATTTTGTGTAGTTTCTTTATCCATACCCAGAGCAGCCCACCCCGTCCAGCTCCCTGGACCCAGAGGGGACATCTCAGTTCTTCTTAGAGGGCCTTTAATCTTGTAGGCAAATCTTCTTTAACGCTGTAAGGCAGATGCCTGCTGTGGATTCTTGAACTGAATATTGCTGGTAAAGCATCTCTGCATGTTCGGGCTAAATAAAAACAAATGAGAAGGGTGCATGCATACAGCTATTTCACAGTCCGCTGAGTGTGAAATCACGGGGCCTCGGCAGCGTGGACCTTGTAGTAGTATTTGATGTTATCATCGGGTCTGAGATGCATAAACATTATACCCCATAGTTAAAGCTCCGCTAAATGGAGTGGAATCCTTTAATATGTTTTACTCCATTAAAGCCTCCGGCGTACAGAGCACGATTGGGTCTGGCCTCTGCCTTGCGAGGAAGTTTTTCTGCCCATGCACACGTGTTTGGTACTGAGGGATTTGCTAGAATCGGAAAATGAGGGTGAGAAGGGACCTCAGGAGGTCATCTAGTCCAACCCTCTGCTCCAAGCAGGATGTACATTGCTTCGTTGTCCCTCCTAGTCAGGTGTAAAACTCTCCTTTGGAGCATTGGTGTTAGCGGTGGGGTTTTCAGTAGAGAGGGCTGTGTAGTAACAGAGCCGTGATGGGTGAAATGGTGGGGAAACTAACTTAGGAAATTAGCTCCATAATCGCATTAGTGTGAAGTTGTGCAGCAGACTGCTGTTTTCAGGAAGCCGTTCCTCTTACAAAGCATGGCTTTAAGCCTTCAGTGCTTTTGCATACCTCAAGGTTGAGGGGAGGGGGCGGAAAAAAAGATGCTGGCCGAACTCCTTGTACTTATCCGCTGGAATGTGAAAGCAAGGCAGCTCGCTTATACCGGATGGACTTTTCCGTGTGCACCTGAGCGAAAGCAAAAGAGTCCCAAACCCTGCCGTGCTTTACGGCAAACGGAGGAGGGGGCTGGCCAGCATCTCTCCTTTAGCAGCATCCGGGGTGCAGCATGCATGCATGTCTTAAAGGAACGTGACCTCTTACCACTTGGCGGCCTGTCGGTGCCATATTTAGGGCCCCCCTTTGTTGCAGTTACGGTGTCGGGTATGTCTGCACCAGGTCCCCAGTGCTTCTGGGGAGCGTCTCTGGAGTACGCCCCATCCACCTGCTCCCTCCAGCACATACCAAGTGTAGGCAGGTCCTTTGTCTCCTAGCAGAGATCCATAGCACTAGTGTTGGAAACCCAGCTGTCCCCTGCCCCCAGAATCCCCTGGCAGGAGGAGATAAAATGACATCTGAACAAATGAAGAAGACACGGTTGTGGGGTAGACTCTCCTGAGATGAAGGCAGGGCAGTTATAGATGCAGCTGGTCCAGGTCCAGCGCTAGGAAGAGTTGGACGTCTCTGGGCAAAGCCCCTAGTAGTCACTCTGATTCTCCTTGCGTGCCCAGCCTCTGACGAGCGTTGTGACTCCTGACTTGCCCTGCTATTTACTCTGCTTTCCTTGGGAAAAGAGAGCTGATGCACAAAGTCGGATCTTGCTGCACTCCCTGGACCAAGCCTCAGGCCTGGGGGCATCGCCAGCATACCCGCTGCGTCCTGCAAGCTGATGAGTTCCCCTTGGCTTCAAGCATTGCATTTCCAAAGCTGCATGGCCCAAATCTCCTGTAAGCAAGGCCTCCACTGAAGCTGGTGGAGCTGCCACAGTTTGCAGAGCTGAGGTCTGGCCCATAGCGGTTACACGTCCCTGTGCATGGGGCATCCTTTACTGGACAGGCGTCCGATAAAGCATGCCATCAGGCATCCCCGCGCACAAGTTCCTTATGTATGTTTGCCTTTCGTGCTCTCTGCAGCCTTGTCGAACGGCCACGGGGACTTCATCTTAAATGGGGACTTTGTCGTCAGCATGTTCAAAAGGGAAATCAAAGTGGGGAACGCCGCGATTGAATACAGCGGGTCGGACAATGCTGTTGAGAGGATCAATTCTACGGATCGCATCGAACAAGAAATAGTCCTACAGGTAGCAGATGCCTGCCTCTTTCCTGGGGGTCCTTGACAGTGAAGCCCGCTGGCTCACTCTCACGCTTCTCCTTTCAGGTCTTATCGGTGGGTAACTTATATAACCCTGACGTTCGATACACATTCAATATCCCAATTGAGGACAAGGCGCAGCAGTTCTACTGGGATGTCTATGGTGCTTGGCAAGCCTGCAGCAAACTGTGCCAAGGTAGGTGCTTTGGGGAGGCTTTAAATCAGTTGGGTCCTTTTCAGATTTGTGATCTTGAGATTTGCTTCTCCTTCACTTATCTGGATTGTGGCCCTGCGTTGTGGGGGTGGGACCCGCCTCGGACCGGCTGGTAACGTGTAGCGCTGGTCTGGTGCTTTCCATCTGCAGAGCGCTTCCCAAGCCATCTCTCGCGGATCCTCACGGCGCCCGTAAGGTGCTGTCACAATAGGCAGAGAAACAGCAGCCAGCAAAATTTGAGATATGGAAGGATTATAGGATGTTTACAGCGCTGCAGATGGGACAACGGGCAGTGCTGGGCCTGGGTTCAGGAGCTCCTGACTCCCAGTACGCTCTTCTCTGGGACAGACCCCTCTCCCATTCATCAGTTGGATTCAAATATGCCTAGATGATCCAGTCCTCTCTGATGCAGATTTGGTGCTTATGTCCTTTCCTATTTAACCCCTGTATCCCTGCATCTGATGGACATCAGAGCACAGTTGATTCCCTTTCCCCTTTTGCCTCTCCACTTTCCTTTTTTCCTTCTTTTTTTCTTGGTTGTTTTGCTTTCTGTACCTGATCTTTTGTGAAATAAAGTTGTTAAAAAGTCAAAAGTCCTTTCCTTTTTTCTTTCCTTTCTTTTTTCTTTCCTTTCCTTTCCTTTTTTTTTTCTTTTCTTTCCTCTTTCCTTTTTTTTCTTTTCTTTCCTTGTTTCTTTCCTTTCCTTTTTCCTTTTCCTAAGCTATTTTAAAAAAACCGAGAGATGCCCAATGGGATCACTTTTTCCATATCTTTTGAAACTTTTTTTTTTTTTCCTCCTTAGGGGAGAGAAAAAGGAAACCCATTTGCACCAGAGAATCTGACCAGCTCATGGTGTCCGATCAACGATGCGATCGCATCCCTCTGCCAGACCCGGTCACGGAGCCCTGTAGCACGGAGTGTGAGCTAAGGTGCATCCTTCTCCCCCATTTATTAGCATTATGTTGTCTGTCTATTGCTGAGTCTCCTTTCTGTTTTTGCTCCTGTTCATGACTGCCGGTTCTCTGTGGCTTTGCTAGCTGAAACGGGGGATAACGTTGCGTTGGTCAGCTTTTGCAGAGTAAAACGCCTAACACTCAGCTAAGAATGAATAGTGCTTGCTGTCCTAAGTTGTCACAAGGACCCGTTTCTTCCACCTTTCCTTTCTTTGGTGCAAGAAGCGCTTAGGGTAAGAAGTGTGCCTTTTTGTGTGATGCTGCATCATCTCCAAACACGATAGAAGCAAGTGCAGTTTTTATCCTGACCTGATCAAAACTGCTAGGAATTGAAAATTTGTTTCTCTGGGAGGAGCAGTCTTCTCATTTAGAAAAAAAAAAAAGCCAGGTGAGTATCTCAAGCATGCATTTAACATGTAGAGTCATTGGGACTGCTCCCCTGCTTCAAATGAAGTGTGTGCTTATGTGTTTGTCTGGATGGGGACAGCTGCCTGGGAGGTATATTGAAATGATTTGAACGATAACATGGGAGAATATCGTTTAAAAAAATTAAAAAGTGGGTTCCAAAAAATAAACCCATTGAATTGTTTCCAGAGTTGTGTAACTTTTGCCCCTAGGAGCTAAACTGCAGTGCTGTTGAGGCACTTAAAAGGTGCAGAGTGGTGTTTGAATCTGGAATTAAGCTGGAAACGGGGTGGTTCTCGTCACTGGCGGGAGATTGGGTTGTCGTGGTAACGGCTGGAGCATTACTCTGTTGCCATTGCAACAGGTCGGAGGCTTGAGAAGGGGAAACGGGGAAGTTTGCAAAATAGCAACAGATTTAAGAGCAGCCGCTCCAAAGCCTCCCCACCTTCCTGTCCTAATAGCTGTGCCGGAGTTTGGCTTCATGCCTCACTAGAAGAGTTTTCTATTTTCTGTGCAGAAGACTCTAATTTGAGGTCTAATCAAATGTCTTTCGGTGCCAGAAGGACTCTTTCCAGTGACTTCAAGCCATCTGATTAATACATTCCCATGCACTTTGTTCTGCCCAGCATTTGACCAAGGTGCTGGAGGGCCCCCAGCTCATGTTCATTCGAATGGGCTCTCAGGACCTCACAGGATCGAGCCTCCCTTTGCAGGCAGCCAGGACATGGGATTGCAGTCAGGTGATTGCAACCGTCTCCTAGCAGGACAACACCGCAGCACCCGCTCTTGCTGATTCAGACGCACGATGAAGGGCATCCTGTCGTGAGCACTCCTCGCTTGGGAGAAGAGGGGCATGCCTGGAAGGGAGTAGGCTAGTAAAGCCCAGAAAAATGCTGCATCTATGAAAAGAAATGCACATTTATAGACTCAAGCAGTCGGGACTCGTGGTAGAGGTGGTATCTTTTATTAGACCAGCTAGATTTTTGCAAAACGAAAATCTTTAATTGCAAGCTTTCAGGCACAAACACCCTTCATCAGGCATCGGAGAAACCTGGATACCATTTCCAGGCTTCGTGACTCCTAGTCACCTGCCGTCTCTGCTAGACCACTCGCTCATCTGCTTTTTATCTCAAGCATTGATCACACAACATCTGCATGTGAAGCTACTGAAAAACCTCCCTTGATCGAACAAGGCCCAGAAAGATAAAACTAGGGGGTACCCACTGAAATGAGTTTAAAACTAACATGAGAAAGGACTTTTTGTATGCAACGTGTAGTTAGTTTGTGGAAATCATTGCCACCGGAGGTGGTGGCTGGCTAGGTTCAAAAAGGGACTGGATGAATTCATGGAGGGTGGATCTAATAATGGTTGTTGAACAGAAGGGTTGGAGATGTTTCCTCGGGCCTCTCTAAACCTATGAATGGTGGGTGCCAGACTGGGTGTTGAATAGAGGACAGATCAGTCGATATATCTGGTTTAATGCTCTTCCTGTGTAGCATCCGTGTCTACCTCTGCTATTCACTTCTAGGGGTAGCTAGAAAAGCAGGGGTAGAAGCAGGGATAAGAAACTAGATGGACCGCTGGTCTGACCCAGGGTGGCATTTCTTGTGTTACTTGGAGGTTATGGAGTGAGAAATCCCAGCACTGTGAAATAAATGCTCTGTTACCAGCCTTGATGAGTTGGAGGTTTTTGCAGCTGTGTGAGCAGGGTACCACTGGACAGCCCGTTTGCCTGCATGTCCTGGCTGCTGGTAGAGCAAACTTCAGCACAACTACGTGGCAAATCTAGCATCAGCAACAGCAGCCTCTGGGTCCTTGCCCTTCACATGGGGAGCAGCATGGAGGCAGTGTTTGGAGTCTCCTGGAGAGAACATTTTGCACCCCTGGGTTTGCAGTCTTGGCGGCAGGCACCTCATCTCCAAGCCCCAGGAGTGGGGAAACCTGACCAAAGCCTCAAACTGTGCATATGAGGAATATTTGAGGCCAAGAATAGCAAGTTATTGGGAACCTCAGGGTTTCTACATCATACTGCATGGACTACAGCATGGAGAGGAAACCTCCAAACCTTTTAACCCTAGATAAGTGTCTGAATCCTCCGCCTTGTTACAGTTCACAGATCGCAGCGGGGGGCTTGAAAGTGTTGTTAAGGGATTACAGTGCACTGAAAGCTCTTGGGTTTTAGAGAGGTGCTTGTCTGAACATGGGACTAGACACCAAGAACAGCCAAATTCCAGTCCTTGCTCTGGTGCCATGATCTCAGCCATGGCACTTAGGCTCTTGTGGCCTTGGTTTCCCAATCTGCAAAAAGGGGGCTTTACCTCCCTCTCAACTCATGCAAAGACAAATTGGCTGAGGTTTCTAGAGCTCTGTGAAGATGCAAAGCAGCGAGTGTTTCATAGCGAGTTAAAACTGCATCAGTCAAGGTTATAAACTCCTTATTTCTGTGCAATGCAACTATAATCCGATGTGTTATCCACATATTGGTTTCAGAAGCAACCACTTCTTCTTCCTCCCCTTTCCTCGCAGTTCAGTTTATTCACTCTGTTCTCCGGGGCTTTCTGTTTGGGATGACCCGCCGAGGGGCACCGTTACTGAAGGGTTTCTTCTTTGTGTGTGTGTGTACGGGCACCCAGGTGGCACGTCGCCAGGAAGAGCGAGTGCAACGCGCAGTGCGGGCTGGGTTACCGGACCGTCGAGATCTACTGCACGAAGTACAGCAGGGCTGAAGGGAAGACGGAGAAAGTGGACGACCGATTCTGCAGCAGCCAGCCGAAGCCCAGCACCCGGGAGAAGTGCGTCGGAGAGTGTAACATAGGAGGGTGGCGGTATTCAGCCTGGACGGAAGTAAGTAAAGGCTTGGCAGGGTGATCTTCATCTTATTTCACATGCAAATCTGTAGCCTGTGTGTTCATGGCAGGGGTTGTGGAAAT